ATAACAGGCTGCTGACTCTTACCAATTTCTTATGAATTCTTGTGAGATTCTTATACGAAATTGGTAAGAGTCAGCAGCCTGTTATATAATGTACTTTTATACACTAGAAAATGAGACCTATTTAGGTGAGGGAACAGAGAGCTGAATTTACTGTGTACATCCTCTGAATTTACTACCTGACTCGCTATTTATACTGATTTTTTCTTTTCAGATAAAGATTATAACAAGATCAAAGCATTGTCTACTCGCAAGGTCAAGTTTTTGAAAAGATTACTTTAGAGTATAATTGAGAGGAGCATATCAATATAATCTTAAAGGGAGCAACTTTTGTCTTCTGCGTTTTTTTTCATAATTTTTCTTTTATTACTCAAGCTTTCGGTACGTTAGTAGAAAGCTTTGCAAGAAAGAAAGGCTCATATCGACCTTAGAAACTAACGGCAAGTCACTACTCGCCACTGGCCGCTTTCATATCATATCTTCTTCTTTCCAACTAATCCTTTAGTTGTGTTACAATTGAACCAAACTGTTACCTCTCGTTCCGTACAAATTACCCCATGTCTTCAAAATCGCCTCGATTTGGATGATTAATCGCGATTTTTAAAAAGATCGACGATCATATCGGCACTAAGAAATGATTAATTTGTTGAAATCATGATGAATCACGACTTTTTCGAAAAAAACGAGCAAAAAATCGTCAGTTTTGGCGATTTTATCGCGATAGATCTCACAATTAATCGGCATGATAAATCGCGATAAAATCGTTTATACGGGATTTTAACGAGATGGATAGTGTAATATCATATGATGTTAAACCATCTATTTTAGCAAAATTCTATCACTCTTGATGATTGTACTCTCGTTCTCAAAAAAACCATCAGTTGGGCCTATTTTATCGCGATTTTCGAAAAAAAAAATCGTCGATCAAATCGTGATTAACCACCGATTTTTGTCGAAAATCGCGATCTATCACGATGGATCTTACAATTAATCGGCCGAAGAATCGCGATTTAATCGTCGATTTCGATGACATGGGACCGGATTTTGTTTGATAAGATGACTCATAATCAGGACTCATGCAAATGCAAATCGAAGAAAAGAAACGAAAAAGCAAAGGATGGAAAAAAAAAGATAGAGAAATTCGCGATGCCAAAGAAAGCGCATAAAATGACGGTAGTGATTGACGTTTGCATTTTATGTATGAAACCTTTAAAAATTCTTCCTGTAGGTTTCTAAGAGAAGCACATTCTTAACGTTCTATAAATCGTCTAAGGACATTTCGTGTTTGCCAAAATACTTTTCTTGAATGCTAACCTCTTCTCAAAGGAGCATATAGCCGCTTCCATATTTCTGCCTGCTTCAAAAACTTCTCCTTAAGAATACCGAAGAGAAGGTTTCGTTGATAACTATTCGTTATAATTTCAGTTTTGCGATCTTTCTCAAAACTGTGCGCCATACTGAAATTCCTGCACACCGTACTCCCTCTTTATGAGGTTTTCTCGCAATATATGCGACATATGCTACGGTTCTTCTTTCAAGTGAATCTCACAAACCAGCGACTAGTCGTTCGTCGGCGCTCCTGTGGGACGCCACTCACGATTAGCCGTTCCCATAGTTCAGTCTACTTCTTTAACAGATCATCTTCTGTTACTTATGATCTAGTCGATTGACTTATGGAAAAAAGTTGTCGTGCTTTTATAGCAGAAGAATTCGACGTGACCATAGTCAGGCCAAATTATCACTCTCACCACCAAACTACCAAATTTAGAATATTACGTGCCCATAGCGAGCCTGGATCGAGATAATCGATTTCTAAGATATTCATAGTTTTGGTATATAAACATGATAAATATGAAGGTTATTCATATCTAATATTTAAGAGCAAAAACTGGTCGTAACAGGATAAAAAAAAATTTCGTTCTTGCACTCTTACTAGCACAGACTTGTTTACTATTGTTATCTGAAAGCATATTAGTTCTTTTTCAATTTCTTTCTCTCTTTCACCATTTCATGTTTCATATATTCCGCTTATCTTCCTTTGATGTCATTTGCTTTTGTTTTTTTGGTTTTTTCCTTCTCTTTTCTCTGATCTTCTTTCTTTTCCCTCTTCTTCTCACGTACATAGTACTTTGATGATATAATGTAGCACCAACTACGATTTCTGTCTTTGTACTAGCTCTACCATCACAAATAAAAAAGTCTATATAAAAAAGAAACGAACAGATATAACTAAATCCTTAATTTTAAACACACATTTTACTTATATGTACTATTAATGATATTCGCCTACTTTATGTACGGTGTGGTATTTACTACATACCTGCTATAGAGCGGCATCCAAGATGTACTTAAATGCAGGACCATAGTAGCTTCAATGCTAGCTATGATATCGGTTCGAATCTCGAAAATCGATTTTGTCGCCTGGTTGTCCACTGTGAGGGTGAGGGGTGGGTATGAGGGTGTGGAAGTATAGGAGACCAACATCCTCACACTCTTGCCCTCACATCCTCACCCTCACGCTCATTTACCATGGAGAAATATTTCTAATTAAGCTAGTTTTGAGTCTAGTATGTGTAAAAAGTTCACCTATTTTTCATCAATAGCTTTCGTTGTGTCAATTCTGTTTAGTTTTTATTATAGACTTGTTTTAAGTTTTTAACTTATTACACTCAATTTCCCTTCAGTCAATCCGTCTTTACACACAGTCATCCTCACGTAAAGCAGAATGAGCGTCACCTTCACCTTCAGTTGCTTCACCTGAAAGTTCAATATTGGGTTCGTTCATACCGACAAACTTGTCCTGAACATTCAAGATTTTTACGACCTTTTTAATCTGACTTCTGCACACAGGGCATACAGCAGGTTCAACCTCCATTTTCATCGCACATGCACGGCAAAATCCGTAGTGTCCGCAGGGATAGAATGCAGCATGTCGTTTTTCAGTTGCGCAACTGGCACATTTATCATCGTATTTGGGCACTACACGTGTACGATAGCCGATGTCATCCGTTTTTGATTTTAGTTGTCTTAGTTTACGAAGACAACTTGAGCAAAAAATTCGTCGATGATTAATAGTTTTACCCAAAATTTGTCTTCGTGTCCTGTGACTCGAAGAGTTTTCATTGGTAAGGCAACAATAGCAAATGAACCGGTCAGAGTCCGAGCGTGGATTGCTAATTAAATGAATGAGTTGGTGATCAGAAAGAAGTTTATAAAATGTTGAGCACACATCAATTGTCCCATGTTCTAGAGCATTTTCAACATCCTTGAAAAATTCCGCAATCATTTCAGACGATGGTTCGTTCGTAGTGCAATCGTTAGTCTCAAAATGTTCTCCCCATTTATCGGACTTCGAATCGTGAAACAGCCAGGCAAACCACGAGTCATTAAGATACACGGGTTCTGATGTATAATGACAATGGCCATGTTTGCTTTTATATTGGCCACAAAACACGATGTGATTCTCATTCTTTGGGTGACCTGGACCGAAGTAAATTGCCTCACATGGTATCCACTGTTCAAGATTTGACCAGAGTACTTTTAAACGTACCTCACAATCTCGATATATGACGTCATTAAGTGTCGACGAGGGTGGTAGTCTCATAGCATACGATCGAGCGAGCGCTTTCGTTGCAAATCGCCGACAAAAGTGATACCAGCGTCTCGGATGAATTTCAACTTCGCAGGCATACAGCATTTTAAACAGAGATTCTACCACTTCGTACTCAGGACATCTGTTGCTCTTCAGAACTGAGTAGAGAATACTAGGCATCGTGATTTGATCACCACGCGATATCTTCTCCATCAGGCTCTCCGCTAAACTCAGCCACTGGTTGAAGGTAAGTAAACGAAAACGTTGTGCTTTATGGATTTGTACCAACTGTTCTTTTAATTCGGCTATTTGATTATTAAATATATCCTCACCATTTATCTGGAATCCGTCCGCATGCGTTGATACTCTCTTGTTTGGAAGGCGAAAGCAAATAATATCCGAAAAGTATTTGGACAATTCATTAAAGTCAGCTTGCTTTTTAAACTTTGCAGTGACTTCTTTGACGTTGGAAGTGGGATCGAGTTGTGCAAAATTAGATATGCAGATAAGCACTGGTCGATAATGAATTTTATGACACGATGTTGCGCATTTCGCCAGTGTTATACATCGCTCTGAGTAAGTGCTTGTAGCAAACGTATCGGAACTGACCAGTATCACGACATTGCTCAATGTGTAAGCAAGCTGCGGAAAGAGCCTTTCAACGCTCTTCCTACGTTCAACTATCTCTTCATTAGAATAATTATAGTCCCATCCATCTCTCTGCTTGACGTCCTGTTGAAATTTCAGAAGAGGACTCTGACCACTTTTCTCGCCCTCATAGTCAAGCAGAAAGGTGCTGATAGGAGGTGGTGTAATGTTCTTTGCCTTGAAGCATGTAATATCGCATGAAGTAGGTCTGTCTGCATTTCTGTCAGCAACAAATGGTGCACTCACTTCGTTATCAAGCAGAGACAACAATTGTCGGATCGTAAAACTCTTTCCTGCCTGAGTATTACCAATAATACTGACTATGAAAACTCTTTCTTCTGAAGTAGTTGTTGTAGATGCCGTTTCGTCGCGTAGAGTCTTAAAAGCCATGCCTGGATTCAGTTTCCATTCTTTATTTTCATTATCTAAGCGGATAAACTCGTGCTGCTGATGGATCATACTCTTGTCGATCGTTGGTTCCATATCATTCGATTATGCGGATAAAAGTGGATTAATAGTGCGTTTGCTGAGGAGATTCCAATTGTATGACTAGACGTCACACGTCTTGTTGAGGGAATTTTCGTGTTTTCAACTTAAGTATATAAGAAGCGCTGGTTTAATGATGCAGAGTAAATGAAACGATTTGAAAGAGATACCTTCAAAGAAAAAATAAATACAGCGATGACTTCATCGTTCAGCAAACAAAACCAAAAGCTATATGTTGTCTACGCTCTTAGCCGCTTCTGCTAGAAAGATAGCTTACGCTGTAAGATGCTTCTTATAAAGGAGAAAACGAGCAGTTATGTCAGCTTTTTCTTTCATCAACATGAGAAGCATACAACAAACAAATGTGTTTGCTTCTAGAGGCATAGTGATTCATCGACAAAGATCGGAATTTGTTGTAAATATACGGTTTTTTCCAATTGTTTTTACTCTTCGCTACTCTTTATTTATCTGACTCGAAATAGTCCACTTTTGTCGAAAACGGAATACATCTCTTTTCCTACTTATGTTGTTCTTTCTCACCTTGTCTCTCTCGTAACCTTCCAACTATAGTCTCTGTTTGTCATAAATCTATTAAACTATACCCACCTTCACATAGGCACATTATCTATTTTTTCGTTCTTCTATACACAGTGGAATAAAAGGATAAAGAAAAAAACAAATGAATAATGAAAATATATTCATATATTAATTGCGACGTCAAAAAAGGCAACAAACTACAATATTCATCTCCTCACATCGTTTTTTGTGTACGTATATTCTTGAGATGGCTGCATCGATGACTGAACCATTAGATACGAATGACCTAGTAATTGATGTTAATGATGAGACTGTTTCTGAGGTGTTGTATTTCACGTGGGACAACAAAATTTTATTAAACACAGATTTTCGAAAAAAATGGCAGCGAGCATATGAAAAAGATGTCGATAGCGATATCGGTGCAAGAAATATTGTTACCGTTAGTGTAATTGGCGATGCGGTTAATGATCGACCTTGCGTGATCAACGGCTTCTTTCGTCACAATCCTACCGTCAACATTCCTTCGACCGAAGATGCGAAATCATTTATGACCTGCTTCGAATGTAAACGGCTAAATAGTTCAATCTTGCCGAACCAAACCTTGCTTGTATGTGAGTATGTGACCAATTATCAGCCACCTGGCTACGAGAATTTGCTGTATCAGAAGGATTATGATGCGGACGTTGTGAAATATTCCTTTACTCTGAGTAGTGTTGTTATACTATGCTATTACTCCAATTTATTTATCAATGAAACTGACTATATCTGGCAAAGATACCTCAATGAGCTAATTTCGGGAAATTCAGATATGACCTGTTCGCCTATATTAATTATTCTTGAGTTAACCACGTTTAATTCTGCATTAGTCAACGATGGAGATATTAAGTTTGAGTTTTTACAAAAGTATCGCTCTACGTTTAACGAACTTAAAAATTTTTTTACCGACATCCATGTATGGCAGTTATCAAAACGTACCGGTAGTGAAAACCAATCTCCTTTTGATTGTCTCACGAATAAGCTTAAACAATTATTGGACAGTATATGTTTGGATACCCGTGGTCACTCACGCATTCTGAGCCGCGATAAGTGGCTGTATCTTTTAGAGATGTCTCTTGAACAGCCTCGCATTGTCCAAAAAAAAAAAATGTCCGAAAAAACCATCCGTCGAAATATGAGCCAGTCTTGCGCGCACTTTTTCTATTTGTACGAGCGAACACGCACCCGCACAGTGAATTGGTTTTGCTTCTGTCGTTCGCAAACAATCAGTTTTCTTGCATATACTCTTGCTGTAGAACTTACTCGGCAGAACAAACCACAAGATACAGAAACCGTGTCTGAACATGCTTCAAACATTTTGAATTTGTTGTTTACGACGCTACATGAGCTGCAACCCTGTGAAGATGTTTACAAAGGTGTTGGCTATACAAAAGACGCCTCCGTCGTTTACTGTTATCAGCCGAGGAATATGCATAGCACCACTCATCGAACATCACAACGTGTCTATGGTACTTCAAAATTCGCATCATTTATCGATCGTTCAGCTATCGATAGTTGGGATGGAAGCTTCGTTTCTAGGTGTCTTGAACAACCCAGCTTAAAAGATAAGCAGAAGATGATTGCGCTGACGAGAGACTATGCCTTCAAAATTGCGCGCAGACACCACAACGAATCATTGATTTACAAAGCACTCCTGTGTCTCTTCCATGAAAGTAATATTTATCCAATGGACACACAACATGACGAGGATTCTTTCAGATTACGCTTTAAATGTCTGTGTTGCGTCAGCGCTGATTACGTTAACGAATATGGAATATGTTTCACGTGCACCAACGACCTTATCAAATATTCAGGTAATGGTGGCAGTCTTCAAATTCCAGCAGTAAATATTATTTATGCTACGAATTATAATTGCGTTATGTGTGTGATGAATCAACGCAATTATTGTCTCTTACCCTGTGGTCATCACGCCTACTGTTCGACGTGTGCTGAAAAAATGATTCATATCTTTCGCCGATGTGCTATTTGCTTCCATGTGGCAGAGGAAAAAATGAAACTTACTGAGATTTGATCAAAAATGCTTTAACTATGAATAAAATTCGAATTCAGAGCAGTAATAAAAAATTTAAATAACATCTTAGGTACATAAATATCAAAAGTGTGAATGTTTTAATAGAACCGATGATCGGATTGCACCTGTTTGGAAACGGCGAAATGATTAAAACCAAACCGGTTAGTTCATGTAAAAAAACGCACGTAATTATAAACGATCAATCAATTTCGAATGATACGAATACAATTGTTTTAAATAATGAACATTTTTCGGTTTCATTCAAAAAATATATCCTAAACAGGTAAATCATTCCTTTCCAAATTCTTCTACTTTAGCAACATCTTTCAAATGAAAATCAACGTTCCTTACTACTCTTCTCGAAGACATGTCATAAACGCTCTCTTTTCATCAGTCTTGAGGATTAGGGTCTTTAAGGTATACTGGCGCCCACACCATCAAGAGCGGAGAGGAAATAGCGCATGTTTTTCATTTTGAAATTTCGAAAACTCATTAGGATCTCAGGTATAATCTTGTGTATTTGAAAATCTTTGGTAATCACCAAGTTTGATTAAAAATCAAAATCAACAGTAACTAGTTCTCTTTGATGCGACCGACATTCTTAATTATACGTACCATAATTTAAGTGATTGCTCTGTCTCCAGATGTGTAAAATATCGGTTTTTCGATTAAGCCTTTTTCTGTCGACGGTTCTCTACAGGTTTCCAAGAAACGTTTCTAGATCTCAATACTGGATCTGACTTTGACAACCTTATACAGTTAAACTACACAGTCTAGCAATTTTAAAATAAAAAACAAAATTTTCCTTTTCGTTATCATTAGAATAGACGAGTTTTACACTATATTAGTTATCTTCACAATATTGAATGATGTCGTCTGATGTTGGAAGAAGTAACAACAGTAAGCGTGAGATGTTTACTGATAGGAAGATCGGGAAAACCAGAATAGCGTACAGTTTATCACAATCCATTCCATCAGACAAAGATCAAACTATTATAATTCAGCAATGCTTGATATTCATAAACATAATACGGATATTTAAGATTCTTCAATCAAACGGCAATGACTTTTCAAAATGTTATGAACAGATATTGCAAGTATTTATTAAACCGGTATTCAAATGTATAACTGAACGAATACTTGTTAAGGGCACACCCAGCCCCTCTTTTTTTGCAAAAAAGTCTTCATTTTGAACTGAACATAGCCTAATGTAGAGGAAAATCCGGGCTATAAAATGAGACCACTCCCAGCTCTCCACAATCTTCCTTGAAAAATTGAGACGTCTTTCAGAATTTCCGATGAGTTTTCGTGGAGATATAAGCATCCCCTCAAATGCTCTGAAAAACAGAGATCTGTGTACAATATGTATTTTTCTCACTCTGCGTTTTTTCGATAGTCCTTCACTCGAGTCACACTACGACCCCTGGAAAAAATGGTCTGATCGAGCAGAAATTTTTTCCACTTCAGATCTTATCTCAGGTTCGTTTTCTTTTAAGCGTTTTCGACTTCAACTTTCGGTGTGAGAATGCGTTTAAAATAAGAAAACAGTTTTTTTATACAGGATTTTTCAGTATATTTCAAATATTTCGAAAAGGAAAGCATATTTCTCGAAAAGAAAAAACACTAACCTGAGATAGAATCTAAAGTATCTGTGGTAAAAATCTGAGCTCGATCGGACTATTTTGTTCAAGGGGTCGTAATGTGACTATGAAAACTCATGTCAGACAATTCTGACATGTGCGTTCTGGAGTTCATGACTTCAGAACATGCCAGAAAATTATTGGCAAAAATACATGATTTTTCTTTTTATGTCTGTTATAAATTTCAGCCCGATCAAACATCGGCTTCTCCAGTTTTCAAGAGGGTCAAAAAAGAGTGGGTGTACCCTTAATAAGGAGAGGATTCGTTCTCTTGAACAAAAACTGGAATCTATCCAAAAGTCATTGAATGACTCACAATGTCGATCTCGAATATATAATATACGTTTTACAAGTATAAATGAAAGCGTGAAAGATGTTGAGGATCGTATTGTCCATTTTGCAAATAGAGCTGAGATACCGGCTACACTTGGAGATATTGAAGGCGTGCATCGCATTTCTCTCACGGTGTATGATACGATATTCTTACGTATCGTAAATCAGTTGCCGAAAATATAGGCACTGGTATATTCGAAGATCTGACTAGACGTGACACCGACCGCTAGAAAGAATATATAGACGAGCATTTTCAGACAAACGCTTACATGAAAGAACGAAAAACTAAAAGAATTTAATATTCATCAAAAAGGTGTAGAAGAACTCAAGAACATACAAAACACGGTAGATTTTTCTCGGCAAAAATACCACTAGTTATTAGTTGCTTTTCACACATGTCTTTTGGTTTTTCGTTCTTTCATGTCTTCCTTCTGCACAAAACAACTGGAAAACAATACAGGGAAAAAACCCACTGCGTCATCCTATAAATACTCGTTGTGTAATGAAATTTTGTTGCGAAACAGGGAAGGGTTTAATTTTATTTCCTGAAAAACTTTATTCGATGGATAACAAGGGAAAGTGGCCTAGACAAGTTGGATCATGTGATAATGAATCAGCAAAAGCATCCTATAATCAACAGAGAAAATCAAATCAATAGTAAGCATTGCTAGAGGATGGGGGCAGTATAGTTGAATGCTGGAAGGAGCTGTAATTAAAAAAGTGCTCGTTTCTTTTTGAAACATTGAGTTTAACGTACACTGTTACATATATTCAGTTTCTTCAGCTATAAGATATCATATGCAGAATCCGACCATGATGATGATTTCCCAATGAAGAATAAGTCATCAAAAACTCAAAAGAGAAATCAATTTGTATTTGTTGATTCAAAATTCAAATCCGCAAAGTAAATATATTCAATTTCCTTATGTAAAAAGAACGAATTTTTTGTGAATCGTAGTATCGAACATGAGAGAAAACGTGACAAAAATCAATTAAAGAGCATGGAATGTGATAGGCCAAATACTTCCACTGAAACTAATTCAGCAGTATTTGAAAGACAACAACAATCACAGTAAGTGTAGAACGCTTCAGTCAAAAGCTATTTTACTATTGTAAAAGAATTACTTTATTCTATGTCCAAACACTCTCTGTTTTCTCCTGTATTCTGAAGAATAAAGCAAAAAATGTGATTATATAAAAAGAACAAACATATCAAGAAATTTTACCGTGAATGTGATGTTTTTCGGTTTTCCATTTTGATATAAAAGGAAACAACATTTGATTTTTTTGACTTGATAGTGATAATTTCATATAACTATAGACAGAAATATTCAGTATTTGATAAATTAGCTCGAAACGATATTTGATGAGGATAAGAAGATACCCATCTGCTCTTCACTATCCGACGGACATTACGGACAGTTTAGGTCTTGTAACTTCTCTTAACTCTCTACCTCGTGCTACAAATAAATACTATGAATTTACAAAAAGTCTAGTAGAAGTAGAATACTTTTTTAAGCAGCTCATACATACCTATGGGAAGAAAAATGGTGCACCTTTTAATACGAGAAAAAACGCTATGATATGAATTCCAGACTAGCTGGTAAGGTAGTTGGTTCTCAGCTGCGCTGAATTCAGCGATAATATCAGTTTTTCTTAAATTTTACCTTTGTAATGAAATTCAGAAAAACTTTAAGTTTGAAGTAAGAGGTTTTGCAGGCAATTTTATTAAAATTATTCAGAAATTAATAAAAACTTTTTCTGAGATGTTTATCGAACAGAGAATGGTTTTCTCTATGTAAAAATGTAATTTCGACTAAAATTTATTTTATTTTGGAGGATTTTTAAGGCTTTTACAATGAATAAACAAGGTTCTGAAAAATTTTGTTTAGTAAACTGAGATGATATCAAAATTTTTTGTTTTTTTGATATTAACTTTATTTTTGAGTAAATAACAAATTTTTAACACAAGTGAGCGATTTACGTACATTATAGTGAAAAAATTTGTAGAACTAACATATATGACATATACAGAACTGTAATAAGAGAGAAATAAGATAAAAAGAAAGAGAAGAAAACGAAACAATAAACAAGGAAATAAAGACCAAACAAGAAAGAAAGAGAGAGAAGAGGTATGAGGGTTATGGCGCAGCTCCTAGAGAGTCAGGATGTACCAATTTTAAAAAATGCATTCGTTCAGTTCAAAACATTCAGCTTACATTTGTTACTGCTAAGACTTCCATTAGATCTTGATACCATGAGACTGATTGCCACATGTGTGTAGGATTATATATCAGTGACTAATCGCATTAAATGATTCATTACTCTCCATCATACTCTTTCATTCAATTATCTAGTTTCTGCCTGACTCTTTAGCAAAAATCTACAAAAAATCAGCACAATTATGATTAGAAGGAGGCGAACCCATTACATCTTAACATACATTGACTGAGGACAGAGAACAGCACAAGAATTCAGATATAGACGACAACATAAAAAAGAGAAAGTAATGACAACAATAGGAATAAAAAAAGAGAGACTCACTGATGAACAACGAGTAGAAGAGGATATCATGAGATTAGAATCTTTGTGTGTCGCCAATAAATGTAATTACGATATTATATAGTTCATTCATTTCTGTAATATTTAAAGATGTTGCAGATTTTAGAAAGAGAGTGTGTTCAAGAGTAAGGGTATCGTTTACTAGAGCATTCAAGTCATTTTCAAAGATAGTTCGTATTTGCTGGTAATACTGACACTCCAAGAAGAAATGCTGTACTGTTTCAGCCTTCCCATAAGCACACTGAGAGCTACTAACTAAGTTCTTTTTATATAGGTGATCATTCAAGTGAGAAAAATTTACGTGAATTTGATTAAGATTCATGTCATATTTTCTTTCAATGTTTTTGAATCCCGGCCATTTATAGGAAGGAAAACAATAATCGTTTATTGCAGAACGGGATTTTCTTAAAGTTGAAATTGTAGTAATAGTAGTAGGTATTAAGACATTCCATTGCTTAATTGTCCATGGAAAAAATGTATTTCCAAGCTCAACTTTATGGGTGCGGTATGTGTTCATGTGTTTGTTCAAAGCAGATCGCAGGGTCATAGTTGTTGTTGCTACTGATCCTGGTATTCGATCAGCTAGAAAAAGTAGAGTAAGGCCTCTAAATATTTTGAATAATAATAAAAGCACAAACATAGTTGTGCCGATTTTTTGTAGATTTTTGCTAAAGAGTCAGGCAGAAACTAGATAATTGAGTGAAAGAATATGATGGAGAGTAATGAATCATTTAATGCAATTAGTCACTGATATATAATCCTACACACATGTGGCAATCAGTCTCATGGTATCAAGATCTAATGGAAGTCTTAGCAGTAACAAATGTAAGCTGAATGTTTTGAACTGAACGAATGCATTTTTTAAAATTTGTACATCTTGTGCAAAGTTAAGAACAAATTTGCAAACGATTCTTTTCCACTACAATCACAAAAACTCGGTTCTCCAGATTTGATAAATTTTGCCTTTTAAATACTTGTCTTAAGCGAGGAAAATTAAAGCGGCATCTGCTATAAGCTACTTCTAAGCGTCTGCGTATATGACTACTCAAGTATTTATTTCTATTCATATCAATAAAAAGTAGAAATTTAGTAAAAATTCGCCTAACTTCTTTCTGAATAAATATGATGAAGAAGGTGCACGTATGTCATTGTCTAGTTTATTCCATTCAAGATGAACAATAGCAAAATATGTGTGTTTTAAGTTCCACCTAAATGATTAACATTGTAATTTCGATGTGAATTTGATCGAGTATGGTAAAGATTCAATGGAGTTAGCTGTAGATGTTCAAGAGACTGTACAGGAGAAAGTCGTTTAACAACACGTCTGAATAACTTCAGTTGCATTTTGAGAGAGTGATCTTTAACTAATTAGTCCTAAGTAAGTAAATTTAATTTAAATTTGTTATTACTACTATTATTACAAGCATCTTTTGTTAATTCATTGTATCTCAAATGTTGTTTGTTTGTTGATCTACGATATTCTGTAATTAGAGGAGGGATACTTTTTCGTTCGTTTCCTTGGAAACGGAAAATATTTTCAAACAAATTGACGCAGAAAAATCCCCATGGTAAAATTTTTCTTAACTTTTTGGCGGTACCCCTCGCTAAAAATAGAAAATTTTCCAGGTTATCAAGTGTGCTGAATACGAAAAAGCACTTTTCTTTAACTCTAAATGAACTTTAATTTTTTGTCGGTGATATGCTAACCTAAAGAGACCTGAAGCTTTTTGGTGCCGCATGAACAGGATTTGGCTATTGGTGAAAAACTTAAATTTTTTAGGTCATATCACAGACCTAAAATTGATAAACATTGTGCCATACCGACAAATGGTTTATTAAAACGATCATTGTCAGATAACATGTGTTATTTTCTTGATACGATTGAGGACGATATTATTGATATTCGAGAATGGAATATAATTGTTTGGCGAATAAAAGAGACTGAACAAGGATATGGTGTGTATTAATTGTATACGATTGATGATGAAACAACATTACAACAGACATCTCAACCAACAATCACCCGATTTGGACAAACGATAAAACATCGTGAAAATGAATATAATCAATTAAATGAGAATCAATCGTTGATACGTAGTTATGCTTTTGATACGATTGCTGATATACTTTGTGTGGTGTTTGAATACGATATAACAATAGCTCTAATTAAATTGATTGAGCATCCAACGGGCAAATGTTTACAAACAATCAAATATCAAAAACAATCATCAACAAATAGTTTAGTAATAACAATGTATCATGATCTATTAGCAATTCAAGAGAAAACTACTAAGCATATCTATTTAAATGTATTCACAATATGTCATATATAACTCACTACATATTATGGTATGCTTGTTTGATGACATTTTATGAATAGATGAAATTAAAAGAGTAGTGAAACGATAGGAAATATCTGTTGTCTATTTGTTTTTAAAATAATTGTTATTAGTGTCAGATATTCTTTTGTCTGAAGCTGTTGTTTGTATAAAAGACTTTTTTTTCTATCAATTGTACAATACTTTTTTTCTACCATGAACTGGTAGAATACCGACTTTGTACGAGCTTAGAAATAAATGTTCATGAAAAATAAGTGCTTATTTTGTTCGCAGTTCATCTATTTTCTCCCCTTAACTGTAGATGAAATAATGAGTAAAAATGAAGAACAATTGCAAGAACTTGAAGCTCTAAGTTGTATTTATCAGGAGAAAACTGAAGGTATAGTGAAAAAAATTATTTAGCTTAAACAGTTTATTTTACGTTTTTATATTTTATCATAGTTTAATCATTTATGAAAATCCATATCCGAGGTTCAAAGTGTACATCAGATCGACACATGATACCAATGATGATTCACACAAATGTAAGTACATATTATTTATGTAAAATTGTAATTATATTGAATTTTAGAGTTTTTAGTCACGTTCTCGTTAGAAGTAAAATTTGATGAAATATATCTCAAACAACTATCAAAAATAATAATTATTGACTCAGAAAACGTTGGTGATTAAAATTTTTCGTGAATGATATTAAAAAAACTGTATATTAGTTTTTCAAGTACTAACATTTATGATCCTATGTTATTGCAATCCTATTGGTTTTTAGTGTGACGAAAATTGATGTGTGCCTATGATTATCATTCTATCAAGCCATTTATAAGAACAATTGAGTATTCAAGTTGAAAATCGCCACATAAGAGTTAAACAGCATGAAAATTAAGAATGAAAAACATGAAGAATCAGAAAGAGTGAGTGTACAATCCGTAAACTCTATTATTGATTATTATTTTATCGTTTTAGAGACGTTTCGAAGATGCATGTGTGACTGTAGAATTGTTTATCAACTGGATAGCTAAATTTGATGTTGAAATGGCTGAATTAAAAAAAGTCGAAATCTGTGAAAATGAACCAAAAAGCTAATGGGTACGTGCTTATATTATATGTCTATGTAAAGAGAAGTTGAAGAATTCTTCGATCTCGGATTGTTTTAAGTAATAAATTTCAATTACTTACTCTTATTAGTTATTTTCTAACTCGATATCATCATTTCCTATTCTAAAAAGATACTTGACTAATTCATTCTAACAAAATCGTTATTTAACGGATAGAGGTGTACTCTTTTCTCGATAAAAATAAAATTTATTGTTACTCGCCAGGGATTAGACGTTATTGATTATAAATAGTTACTCTGCTAGAAAATTTTTAGACGTGTATTATGAGGGCCTTTGCAAACCGTAAATCAGCAGGAATATATTTTCCGTTTCCAAGGAAAAGAACGAAAAAGTATCCCTCCTCTTATTACAGAATATCGTAGATCAGCAAACAAACAACATTTGAGATACAATGAATTAACAAAAGATGCTTGTAATAATAGTAGTAATAACAAATTTAAATTAAATTTACTTACTTAGAACTAATTATAGTTAGTCTAGAATAAACTTGCGAGATTTCGACCTAAGGATCTAACTTAGACTTCTTTTTCCTCAATATAAGGCTAATATTTTAATACCATTGGTTGTTTGTCAAATTTACTCACACATATATTGTGATGACAACATTGTGCAAAAAATTCTTGCTTTAACTGGGAAATTAATAGGGTGATTCTACTTAATGGTCCACTATTACGGGATTTCGATACGTATTGTAAAACTCTCAGTTCAGACGTGCAAATACTGGATGTGTCAACTGGGTTCGTTCTAGAAAAAATGAGTCACCCTGTAGCACAGGATACAGGGTACCTCATTTTTTCTCCCACCAAATTTTTATCGAAGGGGTCCTTATATAAGCAGACATCATATTTGAATAATTGCTGATGACTGCTACTGCCATTCTATCTGTGCGAGTGACACGGAAAGATAGCGAATCACGCATACAGTCAATCATTGTCACCTTCGTCATCGACACTCGGGTCAGAATTGAGCAACTGATTCGTTACACTTAAGGTCGGGATGGACTCACACAGTGAATGTGAGCGAACCGGTCCTAGCATTTTACGGCGAAACTCACATTACTGTGGGTAGAAAAGTCACTTTGTTTCTGATTGATGCGTATGTTGATAATCTTTTAAATGTTTAAATAATGCTATAGTTTGTTAAAAACGTAAATTTCTATCGAATGAATTATGTGGAAATGTTAAATGTAAATTTAAGAGAAGAAAATCACTTGTCTGATTAGTGTCAATTATTGTTAAACATATTCTTAATAATAGTCCAACACGATTTCCAACATTGTATAATAAACAATCATAACGATCAATTATTTCTAATTTAAAACCATTTTGTTCTTGTTTTCATATTAGAATTACTAGATCATCTCAGCACAATGTGTACGTTGACGATAGAAAAATTTATATTCTTTAGATAAATCTGATTCGTATAATTGAATAAAATCTTGATTAAACCAAAACTCTTGTAAACATAAAATGTGAGCAGATGTAGATTTTAATAATTCGATTATATGTGAATGACGTGGTTTCCACAGTTTGTCATTTTCACTTTCACGATGAGATTCTGTTTCTAAACATTTATATACAGGTGCTAATATATTAAATGTAGCAACAATCAATGGTGGAATAACTATGTGTGAATTACTCGATGACATTATAGTTCGAATGAATTTCTCTAAAATACAAAAAAGTAATAATAATATGAAAATAAACATTAACGTAATTGGAAGGAGAAATCATTCTCTATAAGTCAAAATACAGTCTTCTTTTTAGAGAGCAATGACTAATTTGTTTGTAGTATCTGAAATAGCTTACTATCTGTAGTCAAATTTTTCAAAATATTTAAAATAGACTTTCATCGTTTTACACATTCCTCTAAACATCTGCAAATATGACCAGTTATGAAATGACAAAGTACAGAGAAACACTAATAATAGGAATTTAATGAATTCAGAAAACTCAGATAATGTTACCTTTCAATTTTTATTTATTTATGTCGAATACATACAAGAGCAGCAGTATATAAAAATAAGATACGAAATAACTAACTTTCTTGTATTTGTATGGCTGTTGGTTCCGTTAATAAGTTGAGAAATGAAAAATGAGAAAAAAATTTATAAATTATGAATACAGAAGCACACACAATAGTAGAACATATTAAAGTCTAAACACATTTTGATAAATATCTAAAATTAATCGTTGTTATATTGTCGTCTAACGATGAATTTTCATGTAATTTAATAACACTATCTTGATAATCCACACTTAGTAAATCGCCTGATGCACACTTATAATCACCACCAATTACATACACCTGAAAATAGAATATAAAATAAGTGACAAAATACGATTTTTGTATATGTGATGTTTGATAATTCCCTCTCTTTGATGTTTTCTCTTTGGGCACTTAGAGTTGTGGATGTTGCATTAGCTAAAATACAATAATAACAAGGTTTCTGAATAAAATAATAAATGAGCTCGGAAAAAAGAGATATTTGAGCTCGGTAAACTCAATTGGCTTTAAAATGAGAAAATGAGCTCGGTTGTAATAAAATTATATTTTCAAAAGTCAAAGGTGTGCATCTCAAGCTGACTAAACAGCCAAACCAAGCACACTTACATCGTGTTCTCGTGGTGTAGTGGTTATCACATCTGCTTAACACGCAGAAGGTCCCAAGTTCGATACTTGGCGAGAACATTCTTTTTTTTACACATCGCATGCAGGCAGCGGAGGAAAAAGGAAATTATTTCTCGTCAAAAAATATGCTGCACTACCGATCTCTCATTTTTCAAGTTTATGAATATAATCCTACAGTTTATAAGACTTCAGGAAGCCAGCAAAATTATGTTCGGAGCAAATGAAGCAATCGGAGCAAACGGAGCAACCGTAGAATGTAACTAGCTTCGTTTGATGTTTGTATGAGAGAGAATTTAAGGATTTAGTTACCTTTAATTTATTATCATGTTTTATTATTAAAATGTATATGTAACTATCAAACCGATGCATACTTTTTGTTCTTCAAAAGTCAATAAAGTTCTGAAGGGTCCTTTTCTAACTCTGTACCTGCCCTCTGTAAAAAATTATGATCAAATTGATCAAGCAACTTCAAAAATAAGAGATCTGTAGCGCAGCATATTTTTGACGAGAAATATTTCGCTTTTTCCTCCGCTGCTTGCATACGATGTGCACAAAAAAAACAATGTTCTCGCCAAGTATCGAACTTGGGACCTTCTGCGTGTTAAGCAGATGTGATAACCACTACACCACGAGAACACGATGTAAGTGTGGTTAGTTTGGCTGTTTAGTCAGCTTGAGACTTCTGTGGGCAAGGTTCCACTAAAATCGTTCCAATTAAATGAAACCTCGAAACGTTTCAGTATTTCATACTACAAATAACTCTGTTTAGTATATATGAATAGAAGCGTCAGAGCACAGACAGAGTTAGAAAACACAAGTGATTTTGTAATACCTGAAACGGTTTCAAAGACTCTATATAGATCATTCACGACTTGAATTTTGTAAATAGTATGAAAATAAGTCCGGATCATTTGTTATTTCAGTGAAACGAGACGCTAAGCTAACCACATTTACATCGTGTTCTCGTGGTGTAGTGGTTATCACATTTGCTTAGCACGCAGAAGGTCCCAAATTCGATACTTGACGAGAACATTCTTTTTTTTTGCACATCGCATGCAGGCAGCGGAGGAAAAAGGAAATTATTTCTCGTCAAAAAATATGCTGCACTACCGATCTCTCATTTTTCAAGCTTATGAATATAATCCTACAGGACTTCGGGTAGCCGGCAAAATTATGTTCGAAGCAAATGGAGCAATCGGAGAACATAACGAACCTCTCTTTGAAGTTTGTATTAGAGAGAATTTAAGGACTAGTTACCTTTAATTTATTATCAAATCTTATTATTAAAATGCATATATTACTATCAAATCGATGTATACTTTTTGTTCTTCAAAAGTCACTATACAGTCTCTGTGAATGGAATAGAAATTCGAATAGTAAGTGCTATAAACTAGTGGATTATATGCACAAGCTTGAAAAATGAGAGATGTGTAGCAGAATATTTTTTAATAAATAATTTTCGTTTTCCTCCGCTGCTTGCATACGATGTGCAAAAGAAAACCAATATTCTCGCCAAGTATCGAATTTGGGACCTTCTGCGTGTTAAGCAGATGTGATAACCACTACACCACAAGAACACGATGTAATCATGTTTAGCTTAGCGTCTGGTTTCACTGAACTAACAAATGATCCGGACCTATTTCCATACTAATCACAAAATTCAAGTCGTGAATGATCTATATAGAGTCTTTGAAACCGTTTCAGGTATTACAAAATCACTTGTGTTTTCTAACTCTGTCTGTGCTCTGACGCTTCTATTCATATATACTAAACAGAGTTATTTGTAGTATGAAATACTGAAACGTTTCGAGGTTTCATTTAATTGGAACGATTTTAGTGGAACCTTGCCCACAGAAGTCTCAAGCTGACTAAACAGCCAAACTAACCACACTTACATCGTGTTCTCGTGGTGTAGTGGTTATCACATCTGCTTAACACGCAGAAGGTCCCAAGTTCGATACTTGGCGAGAACATCGACTTTTTGCACACACTGCACAGCGATTTTCTAGATGCAAGCAGCGAAAGAAAAAGGGACTTATTTCTGGTCCAAAAATATTCTGATTGGCTTTTTGCAGACTGCACAACTGATGCAAATTCGGATGGTAGATGCTATTAACTACCCTAGTGAATGTACTCAAGTGTGAGTACTCAAAATGTACTCTGATAGAAAAACCGGACGAGTACTCATACGTACTCACACATTTTTTTACTCACTGAGTACTCACATGAGTACTCATGAGTGAGTAACAAGATCTTTTGATAGACGTCTCTATCTCTGCAAACGTAACACAAATTCGAATGGTAGGTGCCATTAACCAGTGGACTTTAGGCGTAATCTTATATTTAAGAGGTATTGATAAGACGATTACTGGTATATCATTTGGTACAGGAATTTATGTGAATAATGCTTTTGAGTAAGAGTGACTTTATAATAAAACGTGATTTTTCTTCTGTCTCATGTGTCATGTTTCCTTGAAAATCTAAAAAATTGATGGGATTGTTCGGTTTTACTTTTACAGGAGAAATAAGTATTTTGACAGAGGTGAAGGTTCCAGTTTAGTACATAGTAAGCCAAAATACACTCAGTCATGCGTATTCATACTAGGTTAGTCATCCTACAATGTTTGATAAAACAATACCTCTTAAATACAAGATTACGCCTAAAGTCCACTGGTTAATGGCACCTACCATTCGAATTTGTGTTACGTTTGCAGAGATAGAGACGTCCGTCTATCAAAAGAAATGTATTGATCAGCTGTACTATTTAGTTTGGTCTGCACGATTTAGTTCCCTTTAATTAAACAGATAGGAAAAAGCTACTTTTAAAAAAGTTGAGGATTTGGTTTCCATCAATTAATTAATTAGGGAAAGTAAAATGTATAATCTTGTTTTCTATTCTGACATTCCATTAAGAAACACAATGTAAATGTAGCTAAATTATTAACTTTCCATTACAACTGTAATCATTGTCAGCTACGTTTAGATGGATAACACTCACAGTATATATGTATGTTCATTTTACTATTATTTTCTGTTCTCTTCTCATAGGTGAAGGTAGCAGATATTTCTAAGAATATTCTTTTCATACTCTTAGAGAATGTGGTGAAAAATGCTACAAAATATGCACACTATATATATGTAGGTTATAGTGAGAGAGAGCGTAGAAATTCATTGTTGTTAAACGTAAAACTTAAATCAAAACTCCAAAAACTGAAAGTGTGAGTTTGAATATTTGAGCTGTGGCTGACCATGTGACCATGAGCTCATGGCTGACCTTATTGTATGCAGCAGCTGGATGCTCTTTTTTCCTATCACGGGCTACGATAATCAGTTGATCGAATCTGACAACGTGCCTTTTGTCGTCGAGTATATGATTCGCAGCCGCAGATTTCCCTTTTTCTTTCAATCCATTTCGAAATGGATTAAAGAACGCCTTACATAGAAAGATTTCTGTATATGTGATGTTTGATAATTCCCTCTCTTTGATGTTTTCTCTTTGGGCACTTAGAGTTGTGGATGTTGCATTAGCTAAAATACAATAATAACAAGGTTTCTGAATAAAATAATAAATGAGCTCGGAAAAAAGAGATATTTGAGCTCGGTAAACTTAATTGGCTTTAAAATGAGAAAATGAGCTCGGTTGTAATAAAATTATATTTTTTATGTAAATGCGAGTTTTGAGCTCGGAAATATATTAATCTAATGAAAAAGAGATATTTGAGCTCGAAAATTAATTTATACTCTGAAAGGAGACAAACGTGCTCGGTAGATTTTATTTTCATCAGTAAAAAGAGAGAAATGAGCTCAGTAATTAATTATGAAGATTAATTAATGATTTTGTCAGTAGTAAAGTATATTTAATAAGAGAAAAATAGTTCAAGACCAAAAAAAGTGCTAGATTACAATAGTTTTTCACTAATATTCAGTCTTTTGTTAACGCTAATTTAACTTTCTTTGGACGACTCTTTCCCCTTCTTATCCCCAGTGGCTGTGGAATTCTACGATAATCCCACATCATTAGTAAGCCCAGTAAATGAATGGAAGAGTATTCTTTAAGGCCATATTTACACGAACAAAATAATGGTGGAGTTAAACGAGAAAAATCAACTAAACGCGCAGAGTTTAATCAGTCAATAAACTCATCGTACGAATTCCAAGACATACTATGATAATATTGTACCCATAATGATGTACCCATTTTTTGTTCAGAAGAAGATACAACATAACTAGCTGCACCTAAATGTAATACTTTTGTTCGATCAAGTTTTTGTAACCATTGATATGCTCTAACTGCCAAATCATCAGTAAATTCAATTTGAATAGCAAATGGTGTATTCGTGCTAGCTAATGATCAGTCATACAACATACGTTCAGCTGTTTGTAAGAATGATGACAATGACAATTTGTTACGTAATGTGTACATTTGTTTGATTTTACCATTCAACGATTCAAGACCGTTATTAGTAGATGGACTAAGATTTGCACTACCTTCATACCAAAATGGTAATGATAGTAACCACTGGTCTTCAAAATATTTTCTAAATGCATGAAGGTCTTTGTCAGCAGTCCATTTCATTATCATCATTCTAGCTGCGCTACCAAATAAATGATCATTAAAAACTAATTGTAAATTGACGATGTCTTTTTCAATAGCGCACCATATTTCTTTATCTAATACCAATTTTCGATGTTCGCGACTCTTACGGATTACGTGTGCCCAACACATAAGTCGACGTGCTTGTGGTAACTCACACATGGCACTGGTAATGCCGAGTTGTATCATTACGTTGATCGTGATTATGCGATTTAGATTTAAATACTGTAAATTTATTTAAAGCTGAAATCGTAGTGATAGTAGTAGGTAAGGCATTCCACTGCTTAATTGTCCATGGAAAAAATGTAGTTTCGAGCTTAACTTTATGGGTGTATGCGTTCATGCGTTTATTAGAAGCAGATCGCAAAGTCGTAGTTGTTGTTGCTACAGATCTTAGTATTCTTTCAACTAGAAAAAGTGGAGTAAGGCCTCTGAATATTTTAAATAAAAACAAAATTTTGTGCGTCGCGAATAGATGTTCAAGTGATAGCCATCCTAGTATGTTGAAGACTTTATCTCGCGAACTGAGACGCATAGCATCACTAACAGTCAGTGCAGCATCGTACTGTAGTTTTGTAATTGGTTTTAAATAAGCTAATACAGTGGGCAAAGGAGTGTATGCAGTCTGAATCTCTCTCGCACATGCATAGATTACATCTGCATAACT